TCTTCAGAGGGAGGATGGACCAAGTCAGAAGGTTGGCCACCATCTCTCCAACTTAGAATTTTCCACTCTGATCCTTCACCCACTTGTTTACCCCTTGTCTCCCTCTCTTTTGCTACATCCCCCTGCTCATTTTTTCTCATTTTCTCCCCCACTGTACTCATTCCTAGTCTGCTCTGTCGGAGTAACCTGACTCCAGTGGCTTCTGACACGATCCAGACCACTCACAGCCCCTGCCCAACACTTTCACCAACAGAGCCAGACAGTAAAACAACCAGATTACTACCACATGTTTCTCCCTCTCTCTCTCTCTCACACACACACACACACACACAGGTTTATGTGTTTTCTGAGTACTTCTCATAACACGTTCTACAACCATTTGCCCTGACGTTAACTTTTACGAATACACGTCTAATCTAAATCCTTGCACTAACTTTAATTTGACACTAATTCTAATCCTAACTCCAAACTAAACTTGAAACACAAAATACCCTCTTACTTAGCGGAGAAGGTAAAATGTCCCCAGAAGTAACGCTATACCAAAAAAAACACATGCACGCAGGAAAAAAAATAAAACATCGTCCATCATCCCCCACCTCCCCCAAAGTTTTCTGGGCTCAGGACCCACGGCTGCTTCAGAAACCCCAGAGCAGGGTAAACTGACCCGACTCAAGTAGGAAAAAGGGAAGGAGATGGTGGTGGGATTCTGGGGCAGTACAGTGGGGGTGTCGGGGGGCAGGGACTGGACCTGTATGTGTATGTACATGTTGTTCTGGTGGTTCAGATAAACAGTAACAGCCTCAGACAGGGGGTGAGTGAAGAGAAGAGAGGGAGGTGGGGCGGGCTGAGGCGGGAGGTTAACAAAGCCAAAGACTACAGCGGGTTCTCCAGGAATGACTCTCACCTCGCTGCTCACTCACCAGTGACATTTAGCAGCAGGTAATGATGTCAAACACCATCTACTGCTCACAACATTCAGACACACACTCTGGGCTTGGGCTTAGACCCTCACACTCCTGATCTTTAGGAAGTTTGTAATGAAGGTTAAATGGAATAGAAGACACTGGGTGAAATGTTAGATGAGTCAACAGGTGGTAAAGAACTTCTGTCCCCTGGGGGGGGCATGGCAGAAAATAATTAAGAAACACTACATTGACCTATCACCTCAGTGAGTAGCCACCAGGCCAACACTGCCCCGTTATATTGGTCAATATCGGAATCAGAAATTAAGTGTTTGGACAATAATAGAATATCGGCAAAAAGTTAATATTCGACATTTCTAATATTTAGCATTTCTGGACCAACATCACTCCGACTGTGATTTTCAAACAGAAACATGGTTGCCAACAAGGCATAACAACAAGAAGTCATGTCACCTAAGCTAACAACACCATTTTTGTCTTGGTTTTGTGATAATGTGATGAAGCTGTACTGTAAGAAGGTTCATTTTTTATTATTATTTTTTGCTTAACTTTTTTTGTCTGCTCTGTGGGGGGTTTTCCAGGGTCTTGATAATACGTTTTTTTTTTCCAATATAGATAAATAGAAAGAACTTTAACAATTCCCTTTGGGAAATTAAGAAATATTTATTTATAATTATTAAATAATACTAATTAATAATGTTTAGTTTTGTTTATTTTACTGAAGCCTTAGACCAAAATGATGTCAGCTGTTTGGGGAGCCATGGTACACAATGTACACATTTCACTAACTCAAGTGGTTCTCAAAATAAGGGGCGGTCTCCTCTGTGGATTCCAGGCCTGTTTCAGGTGAAGGAAAGGGGTACAGCGAGGCAAATTAATGAAAGAACCTCTATAAATCTGAGAAGTGACTTGGCAGAGTTCCTGACGAAACTAAATTTGGGATCAGAGGACTGGGTGGTACAGATCCCAGAACTGCCCAGAAATCAGTTGAGTCACGTGTCATTTATCTCTCAGCTCTTTAAACCAGAGAGACGTCCAAGAGAAAAGTCATTAAAAGTTGCTCTAATATTGTTACTCTTATTTTCTGATGATAGTCAAACTTGTAGTGATTCTGTGGACATCGTCCACAATCTGCAGCAGCATCTGATCCTCAGAGAGTTATCTTAAATTACAACTCTGTGTTCCGCTCACCCAAACAAAGCAGCCAGTGATACAGCGGCTCTGCCTCGGCAACACACCGTAGATGCTTCAATAGGAGGTCATCCTATCACAAATAACCCTAATATGAACTTAATGCCGAGTAATGAATCTGTTGGAGTTTCATTTCAGCCTACTGGAAAGTTAATAAAACAATATTGCAATTGGTCGGGAGAGAGAACCCCGTGGACCAGGCTTTAGATTAGGTCCCTAATGGCTCTGGAGCCGGAGGCTAAATTGAAATGTAAAACCCAGAGCGAGACCCTAATTCACCCTTATCTGTGTGAGTGACGAGCCTGCCTCCCCCGGCTGAGATTGGGGCCATGGAGTTGGATGAACCGCAATTTGCTTTGTTAGAGGTAGGTGTGTATGCACGCAGCGCCCAGATCACAGTATGGAGATATAGAATGCGTGTTTGGAATGCAGTGGAACAAATGAATGAATGAGCCTCTCACTGGTCCCTTCATGTGTTACACTCATTCATTCATTCACATCTTAACATTTAGATTTCAGTAGAGCATTGATTCAATGTGGAACAAACACCAGGCCACCTCATTAGGTACAGTACATCTTTGCCAGGACCAGCCTTAACACCTTTTTTTTTTTTTTAACTCTAGAAGCGACATGACAGACTGGATCAATGCATCAAATGGCATGTCAGAGATAGACAATAAAGAAATGTCAATGAGAAACATCATGAAGTTAAGTTTCTTTGCTGCAAACGTCAATAACGTCACAATCAAAGCCCTTCTCTTTTTTTTGTTTCTTATTTGATGTTGTTTTAAAAAGTTTCGGCAGATCGTCTCAATCACGTCTTTTTCCCTTGATGCACTGAGTTGTTGCCAAGTAATTGGCTTATTTGTTATTTGCATTAACAAGCAGAACGGGGAACAGGTGTGCCTAATGAAGTGGCCGCCGAGTGAGCGTGCAAATGTGAATGATGATTTGTCACATGGACACCAGCTTCTCCTTCTTCTACTACACTCTAATTGCATCATAATAAATAAGGACAACCAGCGTCTGCGTAGTTTTCACAATCTTTACCGTTTTTCCAGCCTTGGAGCCTTAGATATAAATAAATAAAAAAAAGCATTAATGAATAAATAATCAAATAAATAAATAAACACACACACACACCACTGCACCCTCCTCGACTCGACCCCTCGTCTTCCTCCCTCAGTCAACAGGCCACTCGTCCACCTGTTCCCATTACGTTACCTCGGTGATATGTCTCTCCTCCTCCTCCTCCCTCTTCTAATACTTCCTCCTTCCTACCCTCTCACCCTAATATCCCTCCTCTCTCTCCCCCTCCTCTCCCCCTCCTCCACTGCCTCCATGGCTGACCGTTCATTACCCTAATCAAATCTAGCAGCTGAACAACCGCTCACTGCCACTCCACGAGCTGTTTTTTTTTTTTTTTTTTTTTTAATCCCGGGACTCATTTGCATATGCGTCCAGTTAATTAGTGCCGGGGCGCAGGTGCGTGGTGATAATCATTATTAAACATGACAGTCACCTGTGACCGCGCTGCCCTCCCCAACCTCTCACACACACACCCACACACACACTAATCCAAATTTACATCCATACACACATCAACTGCTATTACTGAGGCCTCTAATAAAAAAAAATCAATAGGCTTAACATGACCTTTGATGATGTCATTTCCTGTTTCTGTTTCCAAGGTTAAACATATGTTGCGCTTGTCCATTAAGGTAGAAAACGTTTTTCACACAGTTGTGTTGCCAATTTTTTTTTTTTTTTAGCAGGAATTTAAAGAAAAGGGAAATTAGCGACACACACATCCAGCTTGGAGTACTGCACTTCTTATAATGCTCAACATATCATTACAAGTATACTGCATCACGAACTGCTTCCTGATGAAATACTGCTTGAGATTGTGCATGATCATAGGTAAAATGATTAAATCTACATCCAACCAATACTGAACCAGCCCACCATTTTGGCCTGCGAGCCAAAACGTCTACCATGCTGTAGATGGTGCTATACATGCAGGCTAAATGCTAACTACATTTGTCAAGGTACTCTCCACTTTTTGTCTTACTGTATTTGACTAAAATGCCACATGCCAAATAAACAGTACACAGCATACAGTATACAGTAAAATAAAGAGACATAAACAGTTGAAGGCATATACATGGATCTTGGTCACCAACAAACCTATAATCACAGAACCTTCACTTCAGTTGTACTGTAAGCCGACTGTAAGCAGAGCTGGGTTGAAAGTCAAATACCTGTCTTTAAACTAGTTTCCCGTTCAGGGCCGACAGGACAGTGTCAAAAAGAGATGTCAAATAAAAGCTGAGAGGGTGTGTGTGTTGGCCTGCCGTCATCACTGGTTCCCTCACTGCAGGATTTTGTCTTTAGACCTGTGCCAGCGTCAGCAGCTCTGACTCTCAGACTCCAACATTTGTACTGTAACTTAGCAGATGTATGCATCCATCGAAAGCTCTTGCACAATACCGTAAAGGAGAAATGTCCACAACTTGTCTGGTATATATCATCGGAACGTAGAGCTGCACCACCCTCTGCTGTTTTAATGTTGTCATTGCAGGACTTTTAAACGAGTGAAATAAGAATAAAATAGTCCTATCTATCCTCAATATGGAAACCATCGTTCTTCATTAACACATTTTCCTCCCTCACATCTGAAGCTGCACATAACCATTGAACAAACAACAAAAACAACACACAGGCCCAAACTCGTGGACCATACAAAACTCCATCATTTATAGTTGAAGACGCCTCATGTGTATCATCAGGTAACGCATTAAGTTTAAAATTAAAATAAAAAAAAATCCCATGCCAGCAAACGCTTTATAAACAGAAACATATTTCACTAAATCCAGCAGGACTCACCAGTCAGATGTTGAGATGGAAGCCTGTTCTGTTGTTGTCCTGGTTTTGTTCTGGTCGTGGGGATCTTAGCTGTTGCTGTCAGCTTCAGTAATTCCTTTAAGAAACTTGTGAAGTTGTCGTCTTTATTGCTCAGCTGTTCGTTGTTGTCTTTGAATTAAATCCTTCTCTTAGACACTCCAGTCCATCATATTTGAATCTCTCAGCCACAGTCATTATATCCTGTTATTTACCCACAGTAACTTTTAGTTTTCCCAACACTTCCACGTGTCAAACAAATGCCCACAAACTCCTGCTGTGATTGGTTAAAAACATGACATCATCGTGTGGGCACGTCATTCTGGTGGAAAGGTGAAATTACTACGAAATGTCATTACCTAGAATCACATAAAAAACACAATTTAAATTAAAAATAACAATATAATGAAACTATATATTTATAATTATATATATATATAAATGTATAAATGTATATAATTAATTTTATTTGCCCACTAAGGTCTACAAATGTGTTTATATCTATTTCAGTTCAGTTGTTCTTGAACAATAATGACGTCCCATTGGTGACACTTTGGCTCCGTCTAGTGGTATACGTGAGAATCGGATTTATATTAAATGATTTAATTATATATATATGGTTGGCAACATTTGCAATCTGTAATCAACATCTGTAGTCAACATTACACTCACGCTGATTCTGAATAATAGTGAATTGATATTGGTATGTAATTATTACACTCTTCAACCATTCATTAGTTGTAAGTTATTAAGTAAGTGGATTTTTTTTTAAAAAACAGTGTGAAATTGGTCCATGACACAAGATTTTTATTCCCTTAGAATAAGAATATTTTGGCGACATACTAATTTTAACAGGATTTTTTGCATCATTCGACGTGCTTACCCACAAATATCCACTGGA